GGGGGCCCGGCCGGGACTGCACGACGTCAGCAGGGAGAGTTGGTGTCGAGATTAAAGTCGAAGAAGACCAGTGTCCGACGCTCTCGACACCGTAAAGCCAGGGGATCTGCTCGAGAAACGCTTGCGCGGGTTGGTCGACACTGCCCCAGTCGGGGGACCTGTGGTCGGGGAAACAGAGGGCCAGCTCGCGGAGGGAGCCAGACTGGATGGCTGGTTCGAGAATTGCCTGTAGTGCTGGTGTAATGGAGACGCCTTCGACCCAGAAGCGCTGCAGGTGGTCGTGACTGGCGCTGGGGTCGTCTGAAGGCGGTTTATTTCCGTAGTCGATCAGCAAGCTGTGAGGGAACGGCACGGGCTGCATCGCTGGCGCCAGAGTCCGAGATTCAAAGGCTCGCAACGAGCGCAACGGCGGGAAGATGCGGCGGTTCGTGTGATCCGTGATGGGGCCAAGTATTTGGTGTTCTACGACGACGGCTTCTAGTTTCGACCACATGCTCCAGAACTCGCCTTCGTCGAATTCCTGATTATTACGCAGAAGATAGTTGGTAAGATGAAGCTGTTGGAGGTTAGGAGTAGATTTTGCAACTCCAATCTGGGCAACAGTCAGCTTTGGAAAGTAATCCAAGTTTTTATGGCTGATGAAGGGATTACCACATGCAGCTCTCGTGGGATGCTGTGCTTCTCATGCTCACCGGAGAGTCGCAAATATTTCAGTCTGCTGAGAAGGGGTATGGTCTTGAGATACGGGGCTTGGTCTATCCAGAGGGATTCGAGGGTGTCTTTCGCGTGCTCCAATATTGCGACGACCAAGTTCAACTCTCTCCTGTTCTCGAGCGCAGAAAAGGAAAGTCTCAGTGATACAAGCCGGTTCAGGATGCGATGGTCGCTTGGAAGTTCTGGTATAAAACTGTGGACGAGACCAAGCTCCAAATGCTCCGCAGGGAGTGCAGACTGGAGCAGAGCATGCCATTTTGCCTGGGTGAGCTGTAAGGCCCTCGCTCGGGGAATCATGAGAGATCGTGCACCGCTGGCAGACCGCTTAGATATCTTGCGAAGGAACTCTAGAGACGGTGATGCAGGTAAATTGCTGGGGAAGCTAATACGCCTCCAGAGACGAGTGCGAGATGCGAAGAAGTGGTCCCACCTCTTGCAAACGCCATGAACCCAGCTATATGGTGTCAGACTTCAGACTCTTCATCGGGGTCGCACGATGACCGAGGCCAAACGCACCAGCGACGAAACGTACCAGAGCTCGCGGAAGTCGAGATAGGAGAATATATTGTCGACAATCTCTAGGGGCAATTCCATAGGGTCCTTGCGCCCATATCGTTTCTGCAAGGGCGCTCGAGCATCAAACAGTTGCTGCGACGTGTAAGTCTTGTATACCGTCAAGGGGTGAGCGGTGAACGAGATGTACCTTGAGTTTTGCGCTACCACCATGGCCCTCCTTGGCTCCAACCTCGATGCCGGCGTTCCAAAAGGCCAAGGCGAGCTCAGGCTCCTTCTCCAGCCTATACACCTTGCCCATGCGAAGATAGCCCTGACCGTCGTCAGCAAGTTCGGCACTGAGAACGATTTGGGGGGAGGGGAAGGCTATGCAACCTCGAGTGACCTCGGCGCTATCTCCAGCAACCATGCGGCATCCTTCTTGGCCAGTTCAAGCCGGCCCATTTTCTCAAAGACGGCGGCGCGATAGTCCAAAGCCTGGATGTGTGAAGGCTCGTGGCACTTTTTGTATTTTCTGGACGCATCGCAGGAGCATTTGTGCATGGCCTCCTTGAAGATAGATGCCCCATCTTGGGCGACCTTCTCAAAGTCCTTACATTTGCATCGGTCACGCCGGCCTCCGCGGTTGCAGGAACAAGCGTTGGCAACAAGGGTGAAGTGCTCGATTGCCGTCTTATACTGGCCCTCTGCATATGCCTGACGTCCCCTGGGAATGGATGCTTCTCCCGATGACACACGGGGAGGTCGTGGCGTTGTCATTACTGTATGTGCGTCCAGCTGCACGAAAATCGATGGTCGTGTCGCGTCACGGCGCGACGGCGGGTGAGAGGCAGGTGAAGATCACACAATGCGTATTGCACGGTCAAGGCATGGTTTCAACACTGTATGGGTCTGCGGCCTGACGTTCTTGCCAGCACTCGAATGACACAACGGACCCCCCTCCCCGCCCCCTTCCTTCTACACCAAGTCATCCATCTACATCATCTTCGTCAAACTCAGCCGTCTACCAGCTTCCATCTCCCAATGATGCCTTCAAATGCCCCGCCTCCGATCGTCTTCAGCGGCGCCTCCACAGCCAGCCGCTCCCATACGAAGCTCGTCCCAATGATGCCCAGGATTGTCTTGAACTCCATCGGCTCTCCTTCACCCACGTCCAGGAAGGTACGGTCTCCCTTGGCAATCAGGCTCGCATTCGTCCACTCGCCCACGGGGAACGTGTAGTTCAGCGCGTACAAATTGTCTCCCGACCAAGCCATGACCGAGTCGACTGTGCCGTTCCCGTACCACAGTGCGCTGTCACCTCCAGTAAAGATCGGGCCCTTGGCATCAGACGTCGGCTTGATCGAGAACGACATGGTGTAGTTGCGGCCCTTGGAAGACAAAGGCGTCGTGACCTCGCATCCCTCTTGCAAGATGATGCCCTCGTCGGTGCTGCCGCAGCTCGAAGCCGCATGGTATCTGTTCCCCGACACATCCTTGAACTTGCCCTCGCATCCGCGTCCCGTCGCAAAGTCGTATTCCAGGATCGTCGGCCCCTGGCTGGGGATTCTTCGATCCAGGTTCTGATCCGGCACGAACGGCTGCAGCGCCTCGAACAAGCCCAGATACTCCTCCTCCATTAGCTCGCCACCCCATTGCTTGTCAGCGAGAGCGGGCAACCTGTCCCTCCAGGCCCAGTACGCCTCCAGCACGGTCGTGCGTTGGAGCCGTAGTCAAACCACTGCGGTGCGACATGGGCCTCGACCATCGCCTCCTTTTGGGGCCGCATTGTTCGTCGTGTTTTTCGAGTCGAAAAACATGTGGGCCAAATGGCTTCCCACCTGGCGCGCCTCGGAAAATGTATGTCTGATTCAGTTGCTGGTCGTACCACTGAGACCATTTGCCGACAATGTAGATCGCATCAGCCGAGTTGAGCACAGTGAAGTTGTTTGCTAGCCAGTCGAAAACCGGGTTGCCCTCCCAAGGCGCCCAGTGCTGGACGGAGACATCCGTATCAACATGGTCGCCGTCGGACGGCGGGAACGTGCCCCAGAGCCGGACCTGCTTTCCCGATTTTTCCTTGATGAACTTATTCAACTCGATGCAGAAGAGCGAATACTCATCAGCGAGCTCACTGTGCATCGTCAGTCTAACTCTCCGAAATCAAGAGGCGACAGCCGTGACTCACTCTTCCGTGAGCGAGTTGTCGCGGTACTCATCAGCACTGATATGAATACTTTGCTCTGGAAC